GCAATTTTCTCTCTCTAGAAATCAACTTGGCAGAGCTTCGCTACAATGATCGCACAAGGAGAACGGCCCCTGGCCTAGGGGTATTTATAGGGACCCAAATCCGGGCTTGGGCCGGAAATTGGGCCCCCGATGGAAAAACCATCATTACGAACCGTCGAATTGCCCAATCGGTGACGCCCGCCCACAGGCAGCCAACGAGCACACGCCACGTGGACTCCGCTTCCAACGGTCATATCTCAACGGCTATATTTTGAAAACACAGAGGTGCCCCCGGCCGGTACCCCTCATGCAACATCACGAGTGCCTTCGGGCTCTCTCCTTCAGGAACCCACGGCTTAACAACGGGTAAACCCCTCGAGAACCTTCACCAACCATTCCCGGCCACGCAATAAAGAGACCCCTCGGGGACATCAAATTTAAAGCCCCTCTTGGGTGGACAACCTTCAACATACAACGGGACCCCCGGGTGCCCTCGTCCCCAGCTTGTCAACAGGTAGGGAATCCCCCCGGCAACGCAACACTACCACTTACATTCATCACGCCCTCAACCCCATGGATTGAGGGACTCCCCTTCGGCATCCCCCGGGACATCTACAAAGCGCTTTCGGAAAAGTCAAAACCACGTGCCCTCAGATCAAGAGTAGCCTTCGGCATAAACTTTGTCCTTCATCCCAGACCAAGGTTTCACATTTTCGAGTCATCATTGGAGGAATTCGGTGCACTCTTTTTCCCTCATTAGGATTTTTTCCCACAGGGTTTTTCCTAATGAGGTTTTCAACGAGGCATCCCCCCAAAATGAAACGAAAAGTGTCAACCTTCGGCCCTACGCGACAGCGGGCACTATTCTACTCCTCTTCACCACATTACATGTGCCTCAAGGAGTGGGGGACTGGAGGACCCCTTCGGGAAAAATGAAAAATGACAAAAACCTCCCCAAAGCAGCAACATAATCCTTCAATTCCCAAAATGTAGGGGACTGAAGGACTGCCCCCGGTAGAATTATGCGCAAACATAAATCTCTCATAGGTTTACAAGCTACAAGCAAGACAACATCAGAGGACAACCGCAATTACTCTTTTTCCCTCAAGTACCTCTCGGCAAAAGGAGTGGGGGACTCCTGATGGAGTATATGGCCCAGAAACCCCCGGCCCATAGACTCCCACTACTGTAGCAAAGGCCCAACAAGCCTAGGAAGCATGGCAGGCCCAAATTACAGCGCCCCAAGTGCCAAGCAGCCCACGACGAGCACTGGGGTGCCTTCAGCCCCCCTGGCCGAAGGCTAAAAAACGCACAATACAGCTTCTTTAAAATACTCAGAGTGTCCGGGAGAAAACAGCGAAACAGTAGCCTTCGGCACCTAGAGCCCTCGGCACCCAGGGGCCCCCGGTATGAAGAGCCTTCGGCCAATCATCTACGGCCGAGGGCATCTTCTCGACAGAATCTCCCACCCACATGCGCCGGATCAACGTACCAAGTACAAACGTCACATCCAACCACCGCATTTAATGCGGCCACATGCGAGTGCCAAAGCCACCCCACTGAGGTGACCCCTCGACCACCAGAATGATGACACGTGTCCCTATCTGGCATTTATTACTACTATAAATAGCACTCCTTTCCGTTTGTAAATCAGGCTCAATACACTCGACGCATTCTCAGCAATATATATTCTCTCTCTTACTTTTGCTCTGACTTGTCTCTAGTTACTCCCCGCAGTAACCCCTCGGATAGATAGGCCCGACCCGGACCCGGCCCGGACCCAGACTCAGCCCGGACCCGAGTCCACCCCTAGGTTACCATCTTGTACGGTGGTGAAAACAATTGTTACAAGACAATTTTTCATTTTGAAAATCACCCTTGCACAACTCTTCTTAATTCTTAAGATAGTAAGCCTTCCTTCCACAAACACACTGGGCAATGTCAAAAGGACACTTGAAGAACACTGACTGAAAAGGTAAACTTTTTTTGATAAACTTTTCTTCACAAAAGTTTATTAGTTTAATAAAACGAAATAATATTTAAAAAATTTTAATAAAAAAAATTATGACAACTTAGGTTCTAGATTAATAGTTTTCAATCATTCAGGTCCTAAATTGATAGTTTTTCATCATTCGGGTCCTATTAGGCATGGACCCGGGCCGGTCCGGTTCCGGTTCCGGGTCGGGCCCGGGCGAGCTTTCTTTGCAAATACTTGGGCCCGGAACCGGCCCGGGTTGATACCGGGTCCGGGCCGGGCCCGGTTCAATGTCTATTTTTTTTTGCTTTCTTGTTATCCCCCGACCCACCGCCAAACCTCCCTAAAACATCCAGCTCTACCCTAGGAAAAGAAAAAAAATTGAAAAAAAAAATATGACTCGGGCCTGGGCCGAACCGCCCGGGCCGGTTCGCCCAAAACTGGGTCTGAGCTCGAGCCCGACCCGCCCGACCCGCCCAAACGGGCTAAAAGCCCAGAACCGGCCAACCGGTCCCGGTCCGGTTCCGGACCGGCCCGGCCCGGTTTAGTCCATCCCTAGGTCCTATATCGATGCTTTTTATCTTTCAGGTCCCGAATTGATAATTAATCTATCTTTCGGGTCCTGAATTGATAAAATTCCTTTGATCAAAGATTTGATATTTGAACAATCATCGAAACTTGGACAAAATCTCGCTGCGTAGTTTTATTTTTCTCCCTTGTCATTAGTTTGTTGATGCGCCCCTCCATCCATCATAGATATTACCCAGAATAGGACTAAAACAGTTTGAAAATTCCAAAATAGGACTGTCATGTTTTTATTCCCAAAATAGGACTAATTACTGCCATGTTTTGGCAGTACCAGACTTCAAACATGGCGGTATTTTCTAAATATGGCAGTAATTAATCCTATTTTGGAAATAAAAAACATGACAATCCTATTTTGGAATTTTCAAACTGTTTTAGTCCTATTTTGGGAACTTTCTCTTTTATATTTGATCATTAGAAAATGGATGGACCACTTTTGGGGTTACCATATTGTACGGTGCTGAAAACAATTGTTACAGGACAATTTTTCATTTTGATTCTTAAGATAGTAAGCCTTCCTTCCACAAACACACACTGGGCAATGTCAAAAGGACATTGAAGAACACCGACTGAAAAGGTAAGGAACGCGCACACTGTACAGTGTACAGGAGAAGACCAACCCTTCCTAAACACATAAGGGTTAATTATCAAAATAAGACTAAAAGTTACCCACTTTGCACAAATAGGACCAAAAACTAAACTATGTTTTCATAGAACTAATTATGTGTATCTTGGACAAATATACCCTTCTAGCTATTGAAATGTTTTAATTCATTATAAAATAATAAAAAATAATAAAAATTCGTAAAAAATATTAAAAACTAATAAAAATATTTCGAAAATAATAATTAATTAATTATTTTTTTTAAAAAAAATAAAAATAAAAAAAAAATAAAAAAAAACTCAAAAAATAAAATAAAATTCACCGCCGCCTCTGCCGCCTCTTTTCCACCACCTCTAGTCACCGGAAAAAAATGCCAAATTCATTACGAATGCCATATTTATGGCAGAAAAGAATGAAAATGTTGGCATTGTCAAAGAGAAATATGTCATGTTATTGGCATTTTTTCACCGCCCAGAGATGGTGGTGCAGGGAGGTAGTACAGGCGGTGGGAAAGGCATCCATATTTTTTTTAATTTTTTTAAAAAATAAAAAAATTTAAAAAATTATTTTTTAAAATTTTTTATTTTATAAATATTTTAATTATTTTTTAACGATTTTTTGAATTTTTTTCGAATTTATTATGAATTAAACATTTAATTAACTCATATTTAAAGGAAGGGTAAGAATGGAAGGAAAAAATTGGTATGTTACCAATAGGACTAATTTGGTCCTATTTTGAAAAGAAAAACATAGTAAGTCCTATTTTGAGTTTTTGTCATAGTTTTAGTCCTATTTGGAGTAATTTCTATAAACATAAACATGAAACGGAAATAAAAATAAGAAGACGAAAAAAGGAATACAAAGTGTCCAGAGATACATGGGATTGTTTTTTGGAAGATCAATGAAATGAGCGATTTTTGTTTAATGTTTTCCAAAGAAAAAGCATATAACCCCGAACAAGTTGTTCGGAACAACTAGTCATCGACCGGTAAGGTACCAATGAAAGGATATGGATACAAATGTGAAAGTATTTTGAGATTGCGTTTAGGCGAGATAATTCTAAGAAGACAAGATAAAATTGTGATTGTTCTTGTTAAGTTTTCCTTAAAAAATAGGGAAAATGGAAACTAATAATCCAACCTTTTAGCGTTCTTTTTACAATAGTCTCAACTTTTCATTATTCATGAATAATCCAACCTTTGCACCCCATCTTCATTCACTTGTCCATGACCGATTTATGACCTATTATTCCAAATTATTTTCTTCTTTGTAAAACATTATATCATAATTGCCACCTTATGATCACATAATGTTCTGCAAAGATAAGAAAATAACTTCGAATAACATGTCATAAATCGATCAGGGACCAGTGAATGAAAATGGAGTGCAAAGGTTGGATTATTCATGAATAATGAAAAGGTGGGACTATTGTAAAAAGACCGCTAAAAGGTTGGATTATTAGTTTCCATTTTCCCAAAAAAAAATAAACTATACTATGTACTTCTTTATAGTATGAATTAGCAGTACATAGTATAATAAAACTATATAGAACATAATAAAAACAAAAAATACCTTATAATGAGGACATAAAACAAAAAACTATTAAGCCTAAATTTTATCTTTTTTATGAGTCTCAAGCCCTGTGTCTTGCATCCTAAAGCCAGCCTTGACAAGAGGCCCAATAAGCTCATATTTCAACATAATTTAATGAATGTTTTACGTGTCGTTTAAGTCAAATATTGTGTTTTCACATACAAAATGAACTTGTACGCTTTTAGTGTCATATAAATATATCTTTGAAAAGAAAAATAGAATATAAAGGAACATATTTTTAAAGACGAAAAGATTGTATCATCACCCGAGCTAGTGGTAAAAAATACGTAGTATAAAAATTGAATTCTTGGTTATGAGACATCCTCATTAACCACAATTCCAAAAGTATAGAATCGTCTCAAATAAATCATGAGAGATTGCAGGGAGAAGAATTGAATAGGAACAATGGCTATATGCCATGCTATTCTCATCACGGTTGTTTCATACAGAAGTGACATAGGGACCTCCATTGGCATACTTGAACACTACTTTGACATTGAATGAAACGATACCCCAAAACCACAAGGGGATTGATTATCAACGGCTCATCTACAGTTGGTATGGACATGGTATCCATAATACTACAGCCTAGTAGAATGATGATGATGATGGCACTTTAATTGTAGGGAAAATTGGACTCACCGCCCCATCGTTGGGGCACTTACATTTCGGTTTGTATCAAAATTGAACCTTGCTCTCAGTTTTTAAATTTCTTGCCGTTTGCACCCTCCAATGTCCTAGAAGTGGAACGCCAAGTCATACATTAATCTAACCTGGGGTGCAATGTTTAAGAAAAATTACCAACTTTATGGAGTTCGGGTGCAAACTGCAAGGATTTATAAAATAAGATGCAGAGTCCAATTCTGAAATAAACATGGGCTACTAATTGTTGGATACATGATGACCTCTATGAAATGCCAGCAGCAATTGATTCATCTCGGCAATTTGGTTCATCAGCTGGTTTATCCTCTGCAAATCAATATTTCAGAAAATTCAATCAAGCAGAACCTTATTATTAGTTGTTTTCTCTTTGGCATTTTCACAAACAGTTAGAGCATTTCAATTTTTCAGATAAAAACCTCATCTTTTTGCGCAATTGTTCGAATAAGCTCTCCTCTGCTCTGGCCACTGCGCGTCAATCTCCTCCACCACCGGAAACACAAAAAAAACACAGCAACTGCGGCGAGGGTAGATCTGCCAATTGGAGATAAAAATGAAGCGAGTGTTCCTGGAGCTGTGCATGAAATGTTTCGAAAATGCTGCTCAGGGCCGTAGAATTTGGAAAGCAGAACTTTAATTCCGAAATTCCACCAACTTGCCGAACCAAAGGTCGAGTTCGGTGGCCGCTTAGGGCTGTTGGGAAGAGATTTTTCCGGTTCAGAAAGCTGGAATTCCGAAGGATGGGGTGAATACGACCAATCGTCGTTGTCTATGCCCATGGTAGAGGGCGACGATGATTCCCAGGGAGACGGCGGGAACGGGGATGAATACGACGATTGGATATTATACTGGGGGTGAAGGGGATTTGTGGAGGCGTGTAGGTTCTCATGGTTGACCGGAGGAAAGAGAATAAGGTCGTCTGGGGATTGATCGGAGGATACATCTCGGATAGAGACCAACGGCCAACCGGTCGTAGGCGAGTTTCTGATGAATCGAGCGCAGTTGATTCTCTCCCATTCCTTAAACCCCTCCGAGACAGCGTCTTCTTCTCCCGGTGACGCTATAGAATCCGCCATGATTGACCACGTAAATCAATAACAATTCCATAAATTAGTGAGTAGACTAGTAGAGTGTAATAATTAGGCATTCTCCCAAAGAGTAACTGCTCGCAGAATACAATACATTTGTTTTTGTAAAATACTATTGAAAATACTTCAGTATTTAATGATTTAAATATAAGTTGATCATTTAAAAATATACCCACAGTATAAAAAGGGTAAATAAATAGTGAATACGAGCAACACACGTCAATTCAATGAAGTAATTTTAGAGTAAAAGGTTAATTAATAATAAAAACATAATGTCAATCTCAAATATATCTCTGATCTACACCTAATACTAATGCTATGTACTTTGTATTTGAAGAGTATTATATGCTATTAGTACCTCCGTCTCAAAAGATATTGTCATCTTTAAAACTTTAATCAACTATATATTTTTAAAGAAAATTTCTTATGATATTAAAATGATATAAAAATGTTTGTTGTTAAAATTACTTTCATAAGAATATATAATTTATAACTTCCATAATATTATATTAATCAGAATCACGGTCCAACTTTTATGAATGACAATTTTTTTTGGGAATGAGGTAGTACATTTTTTGTCTTTTTCATTTCCTCTTTTCTATTATTTATACTTTTACATATCCATTTTCATAACTTTCATCCAAAATCTTTCATATAGAGTAGAACTTTGTATTTCATTTTTTACACTATTCATTATTGACTTTTTCCCTTTTATAGTGATGGTAAACCTATATGATTGCTCATACACACATCCCTAGGATTCTAGAGGCACTACTAGAAAAAGCACGTTTTGCAACGGAACCATGCAACGGACTCGTACATGTTGCAATAATGCAAGTACATTTGCAACGAAATATGATGTAGTTGCAATATAGCAATGGATATTGCAACGAAAAATAAATTCATTGCAAATGTGACCGAGAAAGGGAGGGAAAATATGTTACAACAGATTTTGCAATGGAAAGAAAATACTCTTGCAATAATTGCAATAGAAATTGCAATGCCTTATCAGTTTGTTGCATAGTTATAGATTTGCAAGGGATTTGCAACGGATAAATCGACCATTGCAAATACTCACTTGCAACGAGTTTGTACCGCAACGACAATTTGCAATGGAGTCAATTCCAATGCAATTTTTTTTGAAAAAATAATCTTTTTTTGTTAAAAAATGTCTATAGCGGTGGTCTTGTCTGATCCGTTAAATGTATGGTCTCTTTTTATTTTATACTATGAAGAGAAATATACGCTTTATTTTTATTGCAAGAGTGAATATTCTATCGGTTAAAATAGTCCCCTTTATTTTTATATATTGATATATAACTAATGGTTGATCTACACGTGTCCTCAGCTCATAAACAGTGAACTCAGTGTAAATGTGGTCACATGTGTAGGTCCTCAAGTCATGTGATGATTTCCGTGTTTAGGTAGTGGCACACGGCGAGCACTCTATGCCCTTTTATGGGAATGATGTGTGGGAACTGTTTTGTGGTACCATGTGCCTTGGCATCGATAACTGAAGCCAAGGGATGGATAAATAATGAACAAACTCTGATTTTCTATGTGGAAAGAGTCGAAGTTTCGTGTTACCCATTTAAGGATGTGAGTCGTGGTATCGAGGACCATATACTCCATCATAAGTCTCCTCTCCCTTGGTGATAGTATTTGAACCAAAAGAGAGTGGTATATTCCCCTCAATTTGTTCTTAAAGTTTGTTGGGCCAACACACTCATTTGGTTATTGTCAATATGCTTATGAAAAAATTGAAGAGGAAATGAAGGTCCACACGCAAAATGGTTCAATAGCCCAATTGTATTAGGATGCAAATACCGATTACAAAGAAATAGCCGAATGGGAGTTCCGACCAGTGGCTAATACAAGAGCTAGAATGATATATTGCTAGTGAGTATCAAAATGTTAACCCTTTACAATGACATAAATGCATGTATTTATACTAGGAGTGAGTAGGTGAGTGGATGATGTGGCTGATTCTGAGTGGAGGGTGTATTTGCCACTTGACCTACCATACTTGCCACTTGACTTCCCATACCTCCAACATTAAATGCATCCCTGCCAACTTGCAAGGCTTCCCGCCAATTGCTTGAGCTGACCCTTCATGGATGGCACTCTTCACTACCAAGTGTTATGTTCAGGTCGTTCAGGAATGGCCGAACGGGATAAGGTCGTACGACATCTCCCCTGTCCCGATTTGTATCTGTTGGCTTTGTTTCACATGGGCTCTTTATGGATTTTTAAGGCCGAATCATAATATCCCAGCAAAGTTGTATTGTGTTAGTAAGTTTGTGTTGAGGCTGCAGTCCCTTAGTCCCCCCACCCACCCACACACCCACTCATTGAGGTGAGGTGTATGCTCAATTGAAAGGAGTAATTGTGTAGCTAGTAAAGTCAAAGTCTCTAAATTATCCTCATAGACAATTCAATCTCTCAGACTCGTTTTGGCCCTAGCTACTAGCTAGGGTAAGTCTGTGGGAAAAGTATCTATCTGAAGGTCGAAGGTCAAAGACACTAAGATCATTCCCCTGAGTGTAAAGTCAAAAATGTTTGTTATTTTCTGTTGCATTTGACATGGTTGGTGATATTGAGGTCTTTGACTCATACCTAATGATTTCCTAGGTGTTGGGTGTGAAATCCCTCGTATTACAATCATGACCGTCTTTAGCACTTTGAAGGCCCTAGAACCGAAAGACTTAACATTCATCATCCATAGTCAACTTTTCATTTACACATCACGATAATACCTACATATTCATAGATAATAGATAATTCACAAACAAATTTGTCAACAAAGAAAGGTAAAATTAACAGATACAATTATAAATGATTAGTGACAAAATAACTAATCAAACAAATATGAAAAAGGTGTTTTTAAAGGAAAGCACTTTGAAGAGTTGCATACATGTACTTAAAAACATATTTTAACGGCTTGTTCTCATATTTTATTCACATTTACTTAAAAACATAAATCAAAGAGTTTTATTTTAAGTCAGCCCTCGTCAAATCATACAATTTTAAATGTAAAAAAAATGATTTTAGAAGTCGATGTTGAGCCAAAGGCCACTTTGAAGAGTTGCATACATGTGCATTTGTAAGGATTGTGCTAAAAGCATACTCATTCCATTAATGTGTCTTTATAGTGAGTATGATTGTCTTATGGTTGAATCGGATGTATGTAAGACATAGAATATTCCTTCTATAGTTCAATGTAAGCCACAGGGGATGAGGATAATTTTAAGAGGATGCTAATTTCCCATGTTTTATATTAGTCGTGGGATCTTCGTATTGACTTCTGATTATAGTCAATAATGGCTTGTAGATTGATCTAGTTAGTGTATTCCAACATCCTTGTCCAGACATTCAGTTGAGGATAACCTGGTGTCAAGGGCTTGCTTGGTGTCATGGAAGTAGAGCTGTAGGTTCCGAGGTGGGCAGACAGTAGGCAACAAGTCATCTATGAAATGATAAATTTGCCCTTGAACCCTGAAAGTATATATGCCCCGGTTACGCCTGCACAGACTTCGGTCAAAGTTGTATATGCCTATTGAAGTGAATGCGAATGTGTTCTTATATGTGTGCACACATGAACGGAAGTGTTTCGGCAGAGGATCACATGAGGTGAACAAAGAGCGCAACAGTTCTGGCATTCCAGTTGAAGTAAGAACGACCTCCCCCCTGCTGCAACACATGCCTGCAGGTTTGTGCTGGATACGTTCAGCACCACAGAATAAACAATCCGGTATAGGTTTAAGCCGATACGTTTCAACGTGAGTAGGAGGTGGTTCCCTCGCTTGACTGTTAGTGGGGGCTCGGGTTGGCGTGGATTTACCCATGTTGTCTTTAAAGTTTGATTTGTGGAGGCGGAAAACGGGACAGATTCAAACGTTGGAATGACATATTTTTTGTAAGGTGTAAGCGCAGACAAGATGGGAACGGCACACACATGTGGTCAAGTTGAAGGGTGAACAAGCAAGGGATTATACATCAAGGATACCTTTTTGAGATTACATAAACATGTATGCATTGCACGGAATAGAGTGTTCAGGGCACGACCATTTGAACATAGTAAAGGGTAGTATGCACATGACGCCAAAAGGGTACATGATGAGAAAAGTGAATAGGTTAGGCAACTTCTGATACGTTGGAGAATAATATATCCGAATGAACACACTTCTACAAGCACACACCTTGCAGGCTGTCACCACATCACACGTCCTCCGCAGGGGCTGATGAACTGGTTGCACGGCTACGATGTTTAGCAGTTTTGCATGCGCTTGACAGCCTGCGCCGCCTATTTCTGCAGTCACGTTGCTCATCCGGAGACACGATGGAACCAAACCCCACGCGAGGAGGCATTGACTAAAAAATAGCTAACATATAGTGGAACACAAATATAAATATAGTTGACACCCAAAACTGACATCAGGAGGAAGCAAGCAGTTATGTAAAAGGGATACAGAAAAGGCAGGGACACAGCGCATGCAACATAACCGCTAGCGAAGCTATTACTCCACTTGAAAGTAGAAACACTGGCAATAGAGGCAATTGGAAAAAATGCTAATAACACAGAAGCAATAACAGAGCAAACTCAAAAAGTGTGTAAGTTCAAAACATGTGAGTGAGAAAGGTCAGAACTACAAGCAGGCAGGCAGCAGGAAGACACAACTATATCAAACAATACACAACAACCTGTCGGGACAAAAAACACGCACACACACAGGTTAATAACGGCATTTAAGCATGTTAAATATGACAGGTAGGGGGTAAAGGAAGCCAAACTGCATCTCATGTTAATTCTTGGCACAACAAAGATACAAACCAAAACATGGTAATTGCAAACCAAACACACTTCAGCAAGAGGTAAAGGAAAGCAAACTACCCAATAATCCCAACAAAAACATAAACTCCAAACCAGGCAACATTGAATTAAAAGATCACAAGCAACTCAAAACAATGGACTCAGGGGGGAAAGCCCCAACATTTTCCCACAACCAACTCCTTCAATCGTGTGGCAGGCATATTAATAAAAACCATAACATATATTT